CTTGTGATTGACTATCTAATTATAAACGTCTATTTATTATTTGTTTGTAACATGTCAAGTAGTGTGGATTAAACTATTAGATAATGGTGGATGTATATAGAACCAAAAAATAAGCCGACGATAGTTGATAAGTGGTGGAGAGAAAACAAAAGAAACACTATACTAGTATATACTATTTATTTTGAATGTTTTCATGAAATTATTTAAGGCACGCTATATTTCTGTTAAACCAAAAAAAACTCATAATTTCTTTCTCTTTGATATTTCTTTCTCTACGAATTGAAAATATTGAACCTAAATCTCTCCAAAATAATAATTTGAAATCTCAAAATTTATAGACGTGGTTTTAACATTAGGTCTGAGAAATTCAACTTTATTAAGATAGCTAAAGACATGTTACATGAGCAATGGGCTTTGTTCAACTACAAAGGTAAATTAGCTGCACATGGGATTGGATATAGGTGTGACAAAAGATTTGTGTTGTGGGTTCTTGAAGATGATGAAAAACATAAATGGTCCAAAAGTATATGCGTACTGCCATCTTTGTAGGATGAGATATTCTACGTGATTGTTGGAATGACTGATACCGGTGAGATTTTGTTTTCGCCATTCTATATATCGAATCCTTTCTACCTTTTCTACTACAATATCGAGAAGAACACTATTAAAAGAGTCAATGTTCACGGGTTTGAAGAGTTTACGCTTCATACACCTATCATTAACACCTTCCTAGACTATGTAGAGAATATAATGTAAGTGTGTTCAAGGCTTCATAACTTGAGGCTTTATTATATTTTGGATTTCAATTCTTATGATATTGTTGCTCTTAAGATTGTTTGGATTTTATCTTGATATTAGTGTTGCGCTTGCAAGGAATTTTTTATCTCTATGGGATGTCTTTTAAGTTTTTTCAACTCTTGTTTTAATGCTTTATCTAGTTGTGTTGCGACTTTCATGTTCTATTCGTTTACTTGTTAGGCTATGATTTCAATCTTGTTTTGTTTTCTTCTTGAAATTACTATATTTGGTAATTATTCGATGGTATGATATGTTTTTATCTTTAGCACAATTCGTTACTAAACAATGTAACAAATATACCAATTTCAATGCAAAACTTGATCACAAAATTTCCAATATCTACTTGAATGCATTCACGATTTTTCCATTATCAATATTGTGCAGATTATCACGGTATTATATAACATAATGATAGTTGAATACAAATGCACATTCAATGAGAAATCTCTGCCTTTCATCTTTCGTTCTCCATTGTCTAATTTAGGATTCTAAGGTTTAACATCTACCATGAACGATGCTAGTCTCTTGGAAGATCACTTACCAATCTCCCGATGCAACACATGCACCACATATCTTCGAACTCATAACTCATCATCTACCCTACTTATCCATTTTTTTGCGGAGTTATTCCCCATATCAAGTCCCCGGTTTCACTGCGATTCTTACTCACATTCCAAATTAAAGAAATATAGTTTTGTTTAGAGCTCGGGAAAAAACCGAACCCAAACCCGATCAGGATTCTAGAGA